AAGTACCGCTTATGCAGACATAGCAGATGTTGACTAAAGATAACTGTAGGATGTTCCCAGAACTGGCAGAAATAAAACAAGCAACTCCATATAAGGACATAGGAGTAGAAGGTCAACTATAGAATGAAGGAGGAAGACTTCTTGCTTCAGCCTCAACGACCACCAGTGACCCCCTGGCAACAGCTGAAGCATGCGCAGAGTACCTCCACTATTTCATGGGAACGGAAATAAAGATGTATAAAAAGGAACTGTTTGAACTGCTCAGTACGGCAGTTGGCGGAGTACAGACTCCCCTGTCGTCCAGCGCTGTCTTTGCTTATATTCTACTTGCTATAATTAATAAAAATTTTAATTGGATAATGATCCGTTGTGGTCTCAATTTATAACACCTTCCACTAGAGCAGCTTGCTCCAAGCCCCTGTGTCCAACCTGGCCTTGAACACTGCCAGGGATGGGGCAGCCACAGCTTCTCTGGGCACCCTGTGCCAGCGCCTCAGCACCCTCACAGGGAAGAGCTTCTGCCTTATATCCAACCTGAACTTGCCCTGTTTCAGTTTTAACCCATCACTCCTTGTCCTATCTCTACAGTCCCTAATGAAGAGTCCCTCTCCAGCATCCTTGCAGCCCCCTTCAGACACTGGAAGCTGCTCTGAGGTCTCCACACAGCTTCTCTTCTCCAGGCTCAACAGCCCCAATGTTCTCAGCCTGTCTCCACACAGGAGCTGCTCCAGCCCCTGAGCATCCTCGTGGCCTCCTCCTCTTGCTCCAACAGCTCCGTGTCCTTACGTTGGGCACACCAGCACCGCACACAGGGCTGCAAGTGGGGTCTCCTGGGAGCAGAGCAGAGGGGAAGGATCCTCTGCTTGGACCCTTTTCCATCACCTCCTACCCCTGTTTCTCCTTACGGATGCATTCCCGGTGTTCCTGCCCACAGCAGGGCTGAGCTGCTGCGGGTTTTGTGTGCGCCGGGCTCTGCGCTGTCCCCTCGCTGCTCCCTGGTTCAGAGCCCTCTCTGCAAAACCAGCTCCGGGCACAAAAAAAAAGGGGATTTTGCTCCTGTTTTCCCTGGAATTCCGTGGCCTGTCACCACTAGATGGCAATCTATGACTGTACCAGGTCGCCCTGAGTGCCCAGGGGCGGTGTTTCAGAGCAGACGCATCCCATCCCCAAGGATGGACACCGGGACCTCACCGCTGCTCCTTATCTCCACGGCTCCAGTTCCCAATGGGGTGCTTACAGCCATTAAAGGGCTTTTTAGCAGCTTTTAAGCACTTTTCCTTGTATCCCCCTGCAGCACAACGTGCCCCGGGTGAGGAGCGGCGCTGCGGACCCAGGACCCGAGGAGGTGATGCTGTGTCCCCGCGCATCCCCACACGCTGCACGGGTGTTGCTGCAAGGCACGAGTGGCGAAGGGGACAAACAGGGGACAAGCTGACCTCAGAGCTGGAGCAGCAACCCGAGCTGGGCGCTGTGTGGTAGCTGTAAACAGGAGCGGGGCCTCCCTGTTTGTGTGTACACAGGGGCAGATGGTGCTGAGCCCTCGGGGGTGCTCCTGAGCCGCCACCCCCCCGCCCCACTATGAAGCCACCCCTTCATGCTGGCTCATTGCACTGCTTGGGGCTGCCCCAAGGGTGGTGGGTGCGGGTGGGTGATGGAGGAGGAGGATTTGGTGCCTTTCCAGGTGGGATGGCAGCCGGACCGCTGAGGGAATGGCTCCGAAATAGAGCGCCCGGGAAGAAATGAGTCACCCCGGGCTGGAAATAAACGTGGCCACGGGCACAGGGGAATTGTGGCAGCGCCTTGGCCGTGTTTTGGTTGGGAAAGGGGGATTGCTCGTGGTGCCTGTTACCAAGGGGCTGAACCCGCAGCCCTTTGGCGGGGAAAGCATCAAGGAAAGGTTAAAAAGAGGAGGCAGGAGGCAGGCGTTCTCTATGGTTTATCCCAGGCTGTATATACAGAGACAAGCGACGGCTGAGGGTCGGGGAAGGGAACCTCCCTCCTGGCAGGGCTCTTGGCACGCCGGATCTTCCCCATCAACCCATTTGCCAGCTAAAAGTCACCGGAGCCGGGAATCCCATCCGGAGTTTCTCCGATGGGTGACGGGATGCATCCCTCCACGCCAACCGCTCAGGTCTGAGCCCGAGGAGGAGCGTTCCCATTCCCTACCTCCTTCCTAAACCACCCAAATAACGACTGAGGGAGGTGATGGGGGAGGGGGGGAAGGACCCCCCCCAGCCCCTCAGATCTTGATCTCAGTCCGGAAGGTTTGCTGGACGTGGTCGGGATGCTTGGGCTGGCGCTGGGCACGGATGGTCAATGTGCCATCATCCCCCAGCGAGGACGACACCGACGTGGGGTCCACGTCCTCGGGCAGCTGGCATTTGTGGGTGAAGGTGTTCATGACCGTGCCATCCGCAGCCAGCTGGGGAGGGGATAATGGGTGAAAAAGGGGTGATTTGGGGGCACTCGTTGTTCCCTGCCCGGGGGTGAGGCATGGGGCGCGCCTTGTGTGTGGTGATAATATTTGTCTCCCCGAGGGATGTGAGTGGCAACAGAGCAGGGGACAAAGGTGCTGGGTTTGGTTGCCACCCCCCTGGGATGGGTGATCGCAAGGCGTGAGTTTGTTGGGTCGTGTGGGCTTTGCTCCTGTGAAACAGGGGGCAGAAAGACGAGGAAAGGGTGATTTAACCCCCTCGGGGCCATTCGGAAGTTGTCCGGGTGAGGATTTTGGGGTCCCCTATGCTTCGGGGGTGAGCGGGGAAGGGAGGAAGCACCCACCTTCTCAGCGTGCACCTCGATCTGGTTGTTGGAGGTGGTGACGATGATGTCCTCGGGGGCGAAGTCGCTGACATCCACTGTGAACTGATAGGTGTTGCCCAGGGTCTTCACGGTGCCGGTGCTGCCGGGCCGAGCTGCCGGGGAGCAGAGGTGCGGGTCAGTGCGGGTGTCGTCCGTCCCCCCCCAAACACCTCTTGTATCCCATCCGCATTTCCCAAACCCTCACCTGGGAACCCCAAGGTCTCCCCACGGGGCCGGACAAAGCTCCCAAAAAGCTCCATGGAGCCGGCGGGCGATGCCGAGCGGTGGAAGCTGCGCTCCGAGCGGAAAGCAGCCGCCGATCGCACGTTCATCCACTGCTTCCCCGCACACCCTGAGCCCCAGCTCCCGCTGGGGAGGAAGAGCAGGGCCCCTCTTCCTCGCCCTCCTCCTGCCGAAGGCGAAATGGGGCCGGTTGTTTCGTGGCGGGGTGGCTTGAGGAGCTTTTAAAGCCTGGTTCCAGCGCCCGGCCGCCTGCCAGGGCTCTCGTAAAAGGGGCTAAATTTAGGTCTTGCGCTGGAGAGGGTGGAAATTTTTCCCTCTGCGTCCTCCCCCCTCAGCACCATGGAATGCCGTGCCCGCGTGCTGCCTGCTATTAAGGAATAATAATGAGAATTAATGGAATTACTCATTAAAGAGTCCCCGGGAAGGACTGGAGGGGATGGGGATGGGGGCAGAGCCCGGCTCACTCCAGCCCGAGCGGGTCCGGTGCCTTCCTCAAGGTCGTTTCTAATGAGCTTGTTTGCAAACTCAGTGCTGCAGCGGAGGCCGAGGAGGGAGGAGCGGTGAGGGGGTGCTGGCAAAAAGGGGGGGATTTGTTCTGTCCCCGCAAAAGTCCCCCAGGATGAAGCGCCCTGTCCCTGGGGAGGAAGAAGAGGAAGAGGAGAGAGTGTTGGTGTCAGAGCAGAGCTGGAGACCCTGCCCCAAAGCCCGGAGGAGGCTCCGAGGTGAGATCCCAACCCGAAGCAGAGGGATCTTGGGGGTGTTTTGGGGAGCTCAGCACCCTGTTTTCACACGCACACACACTCCACAGGGTGCCTGGAGTGGGTGAAGAGGCAGCTTTTCCGTGTCGGGGAGGATTGGTATTTCCTCTTCGTCCTGGGGGTCCTCATGGCCATCATCAGCTTCATGATGGACCTTGTCGTCTTCAGGCTCTATGAGGGTAAATGGGGGGCTTCACCTGCCCGTTTGGGGGCTCACCAAGGATGAGAGGGACTCTTTGTTTGGGGGGGAGCATCACCCCTCCTGATGCTTCCTCTCCAGCCCACCGGTGGCTTTACCAAGAGGTCGGTGATGTTTTGGTGCTCAAGTACCTCTCGTGGACCATATACCCAATAGCGATGACCACGTTCTCCACTGGCTTCTCCGAGAGCATCACCCCTCACTCTGGAGGTGAGCTGGCTGCATCCCAACCTTCCCCACTCCCCAAAACTCCTCTCTGATAGCAGGGAGAGCCCCAAAACCATGGATAACCCCCCCCATCAGGCTCTGGCATCCCGGAGCTGAAGACCATCCTGACGGGGGTGGTGCTGGAGGACTACTTGGCCATCAAGACCTTCGGAGCCAAGGTGGTGGGGTTGACCTGCACCTTGGCTGCTGGCAGCACTGTTTTCCTTGGCAAAGTGGTGAGTGATCCATCGGAAATGGTTCCCAGCATCCCTTGGTGCTGGGATGGCGGCCGAGGGTCAGCCAGTGCCGTGTCCCCCCCTCTAATTCTCCTTCCTGGCACCCAGGGGCCCTTTGTCCACCTCTCCACCATGGTTGCAGTGTACCTGGGGAAGATGAGGACCTCGGTCATGAAGGAGTATGAGGTGGGGGTGACACCCCCAAAAAATTAAACGGGGGGTATTCCCCTCCTAAAATAGGGTTTTTAAATTATTTCATAGGGATATCCCTAATAATCATTTAGGGATTATATTATTAGATACCCCTATAAATAGGGGTATTAAATTATTTAAAATAGTGGTATTTTAACTTCCTCCCCTAAACCCCGGAGTTGT